AGGTGCAGGCAAAAGAAAAGTGCTTGAAGAACGAAAATAAACAATATTAACAAAATAAACAATAATAACAAAATAAACAATTTTGATTTAAAGCTTTCGTGACTGCAGGGATTCATATTCTTGGTTCGTGAGAATTTTATTGTTTTATATTTTTATTATTTTATTGTTTCCCTTCTACGTGACTTTACCGAAAGAACCAAGAATATGAATCCCTGCAGTCACGAAAGCTTTAAATCAAAATTTAAACTGAGGGCACCTCAATGGGCTCCCCCCTATCTCCGGTTGTAGCCAACATTTTCATGGAGAAATTTGAGACTGATGCCATCCAGACTGCCACTCTGCGCCCAACCTTATGGAAGAGGTACGTGGATGGCACTTTTGTCATCTGGCCACATGGCCGGCCTGCTCTAGACCAATTCTTTGACCACATCAATTCCATACACTCAGCCACCAGATTTACCATGGAGGTCGAAAAAGATGGCAAGCTACCTTTTTTGGATGTCCTAATAAAAAAGAGACCTGATGGTTCAATGAGCCACTCTGTCTACAGGAAAGCTACCCATACGGATGCTTACCTGAAACCGGATTCCCACCACCATCCATCCCAGAAGAATTCCCTCATCAAGACTCTGCACCATAGAGCCCAATGCATATTCGACCAGGAACACATAGCCAGTGAACTCAAGCACGTACACCAAGCTCTTAAGGCTAATGGTTATTCCGACTACACAATCCGCAAAGCTATCACTCCAACCATGAAGAAGGACCCTCTTGAGGAGCCTTTCAAAACCATCACTTTACCCTACATTTCGGGGATCACAAAAAATATCTCCAAAATCTTGAATAAACACAAGATCCAGGTCCGATTCAACACATTACATAGAATCCGTGATCTGGTTCCGTCTGTAAAAGATGTGATTCCGAACATACAGTACCCTGGCGTCTACAAACTAAGTTGCCTCTGTTGTAGTAGTTACATTGGAGAAACCAAACGACATGTCTCGGACCGCATTCGTGAACACAAAGCAGACCTGAAACACGGTAGGACCAACACCTCGGCCGTGGCAGATCACTGTTATAATTCAGTAGGCTCACATGACATTGACTTCTCCAAGACAGAGGTTCTTTGCAAGCCGTCTGGCTACCATGAGAGATTCGTTCATGAGGCTATCCACATATACAAACACAGAGACAATTTCAACCAAGAAGATGGATTCTGGCTTAGCAATCATTGGAAGGATTTGATAAACCATTTCGGGTCTTAATTTATTAATCACGCTTAAGGTGGCTTTCAGACCGCATCCATTATTTGTTCGTCTCCCCCCTCCTCTTTTCCGAACATAGATGGACTCGTCCATCTGAACAAACTGTCAATTGCTATCCGTGGTGCTAACGTTAAAAAAACGCCACTTTTTTTCAAATGTTCTTGTTGCGGTTTTTCACACCTGATGATGATTGCTTGTGTTACAGTCGAAACGTCGTGAGAATTTGTATTGTTTTATATTTGTATTATTTTATTGTTTCCCTTCTACGCGACTTTACCGAAAGAACCAAGAATATAAAAATAAACAATATTAACAAAATAAACAATATTAACAATATAAACAATATGAACAAAATAAACAATATGAACAAAATAAACAACATTAACAAAACAAACAACATTAACAGACATTCCACTATGAGGAGTAATTCGTCCTCTACAGTCCTCTACTTAACAAATATTTGGGCACTAACGCTATCAGATAACAATTACTTTTGAATAGTTTTATTTTTTTAATGGTTGTTCCGTCTAATTTGTTGTCCTTCCCCCGCACCTCCGATTCGCATAGTTGGCTACGTACGGTGCGAAAGAAGTTCAACACACACCTATGTAAACATACATGTACACCCAAGAACCGGATATAATGAAATATTAAATACCGTTTCCAATGTTTCTGCTTCATGGTCTATGAATGATTAACCAAATACACGCTAAAGAAAACACGTGATTTTATTTTAAAGGTTATAAAACTACACTTCTTTGTGTGTGTATACTGCATCCCCAAATATAATACATATTTCAGCACGCGTGGCTATTCCTCTCGTATTGCACGTGCAATTGTAAATTGTTGTGCTTCTGCAACCATGAACATGGCAATTTATGCAGACTCATCAACAATTGTTAATTTGCACACTCAAGTACCGAGAAATATATTCATTGGTGCGCATGGATATGATTTAATTTATGGAAGCACATGGACATTGTACAGTTAGGAAACGGAGCGGTAAGATGTTTATCATCATCATCAGCCATGATCAATCCACTGCTGGATGATGGCTTCCCCAAGCCGTTACCTGCCCCCATGATTCCATGATGCAACAAATCCGCCCGGAAAAACACCCATCCGATTTCATCACTCCATCTCCCCCGAGCGTCGGGCCTTTTGGACGCTTTCGATTCCTTGGCTGCCACTCCGTTCTCACCCTATGACCATGCTTCATAATCCCTTCTCGTGACGTGTCCCGGCCCAAGGACGCTTACAAAATAGGGTGTCTCTCCGTCTCTTTGTGTCTCTCTGTCTTTGTGTGTCCCCGTGTCCGTCTCGGCGTGTGTCCACGTCTGTGCGTGGGTCTCTCCGTGTTGCTGTCGTGGAGGATACAGCACCACCCACGTCTTTGAAGCACAACGTGTGTGAACTTGCGCTCAAATGCAAGCACTTTACGCTTCAAACACGTTATGCTTTGAGCAGTCCTATTAGCCGAAAGATTGTCGCAGATAAAAGGAGTTGCACGGGCAACTTCATCCTATATCCCGAGGGTTACCTGTGGATAAGAGCAATACAAATCTTGGATAACCCTGGGGATAATTTGGAACCACAAAATTCATCCTCCACATCACCGTGGACAACATGGCTTGTGTAAATTACGAATACTAATAATTAACAAATATCCCAAGCGTTATTCACAAAGTAAAAGCTGCAACACACTACACTGTGGCTAACAAAAAGTATAATTGCTGCCATATTATGCAACGCATCAAGAGGATGATGTGGGAGTTTCTAAACTTTATATTGAAATGCAATTAAAATGTGAGATATTGCATACGTAACTTTTATCATTCGTGGTGTCTATGCACCTGTTGACGTTGACATTAGATGGAACATTACATTGTAAATCTCTTCTTGTTGGCCTCAATTGGATATGACAGTAATGACCTGCAGACAAAGGCGCCACATACACGGAATTTTCGAGTGAGCGACCCTTTATCAGCATTCCAGAGATGCCTTCTTCCTAGATTCAGGTAATTGGCTTGCCACTATGGGTTGTTTAAAAACGTCCGTAAAGTCCTCATTGTTATAATGGCTTCTGCTGTTTAGATGTGGGTATGCAGTATAGTATTAATAATATATATACGTAACGTATACTTTCGGAGTATCACCGGCCATGGCCAATCCACTGCTGGATGAAAGGCTCCCCAAACCACTGCCACCTCCCACGATTGCGCGACATAACAAACAACAGTCATAACAATGGACATCAAACATGCGCTACTTTGTTATACGTTTAACGCTGCTTAATTTGGAAGGATATTGACAAATATGACCAGTGGAGTAGCAGAAATCACCGTATTAATGGAATTATGGTCGTTTAATTGGCACTCACTCCCAGGGCTTTGCGCTGGGAGTTTCCTAGAAACCCCGTCAAGCGCTCCGTGGTGACAGTTCGGCTTTGTAGATCACCATCTGGGCTTCTTTCGCAGTTTTTTTCTCAATTAAACACAATAGACCAGACGCAGATGGATATGAAAGAAAAAAAAATCCCAGCAGAGTGTGTTCAGAAATGATATCAGTGCCATCACCGGAATGACAATGCCGCGTGAGCATCACGCGGAGTGCTCACATGGGCGTGTAAGAAAGGCCGGCTCGCGTTCGATCGAACGTCGCCTTACACTTTGCACTTCGATCTGAGAGCTGTCACCCACTGGATCTAAGAGAACACAACTCGCATCTATCAACCAGAATTGAGCTCGTGAAATTTATGTATATATATTCGCTGCGAGCAAGAGAACAATACCTTTTTTTTGCACATGCTACAATAACGTATCTGAATTTTTCATTACTCATGTGGCTGCGAAGTAATAGCTGAAGAGCAATATAATAACTATGCAAATTGTGACCGGATTGGCATCTGCTTGAAATTTAACCATTACCATTTCTATTTTGCGCGTAACAAAGAGGAAAGCCGTGGTGTATTTTTTCTTTCAGGCAAAGTGTGGCCAGCGGAAATTTGGTAACTTTGGCAGCTAATTACTTTATATATGTATGTATATATGCTTGTGAGAAACTTTCCACCTCTTGGCGACTGAGGCAGCTGCAAGCTTGGTAAATATTAGCTGAGTCCGTGGAGCGCGCTTATATTATCGTCACTGCCAATATCGTGTGGTTAGGAAGTTTCCGCTTGTTGGTGGTGTTGCTTGTTTGCGTTGCAGTTTAGGGTTTATTTCCTTCCAATTCTTGGTGAATGTATCTGAATAATACATTGGCCTCGGTGTGCATTAACAATGCTTACCATACGACAATAAGATAGGCAAGCACACAAGTGGGTGAACAATATCATTAATATTCTTGGTTGTGTCTTGAAATGTTAAATATTATTCCTTCACTCTTTACGTCATCACATCAATCTAAAATACTTGTACACAACGAATCACAACAGCCAACAGATCCAGATACCAGTTTTATAACCTCTCTATTTCCAAAAAAAAACAACCACTTTTCATACTGTCTTGATATTTACACACACAATATTGCTAAACCAAGAACAAATAACTGGCCTGGTAAAACGGCCTGGCAGGTAGGTGCTGATCGTCCAGTTGGCATCACCTTTATATCCATGCTGCCATAAGGTCATCCAAGTGGTCGTTACGGTGACCCTGAGGTTAACACCTATCAAACAGGCTGTGTATTGATGCCACAAACGGCTCGAGTAATACAGAATAACCCTTTCGTGTCTTCCAGAGAATGGTGCGCTACCGGTGAACACCTTATGAGGGAGGTGTCATTGTGTCTTGAGCTCCGAAGAATCGTAGCGGAACAACTGCTGTTCAATGAATGGGTCACTGGACATGCGGTCTACATAACTACAGTACATGTGACGCAAAAGGTAAAAAAGGTTCCTATAGCAGAGACATCTCATGCCAGGATAAGATATATAACCACACTGCTCTGAGTAATAAAACATTTACGTCCTTGGAAAGGTAACTCGCGTTAAATTTCACTCCTGCATTACGCATCCTCCGAACGAAGGGAAGACTTTGTCATCCGCAGATGCAAACTCTGCGTGAGGTTGGCATGTTATTATGGCTTCTTTTTAAAAAAGCACGGAGGGTTAATATAAATTGTACATTCTGCTTGTTGTTATTCAATACGTATACCAATTTACGTGATAAACGTGTTGTTATATATTGGTATCAATGTGAGATAGTCGTATGTTATCTTTTAAATATACAATATAAATTGCAGTCTGTAGCTGCACCGTATACTATAATTTTGTGTCGTTCCTTGACTGAAATATATATAAAATGGAGCACATCTGTCATTTCACCAGGCATGCTGCAAGACTTTTGATCACTTCATATCCTGATATAAATATTTAAAATATTGTCACAGCCCGCAAATTCCAGATATATATCTATCTCTCGAAGAACGTGTTCATACATTTCCTCTCCAAAACAAAGTCACGGAGTTTGACTACTCGGGAACTTTCTTTACAGGTTCCATCCCCATCCTGGCAGAGTGAGGATGGTTTAGTTTTATTTGTATGTGAATTGGGTGATTTGTTGACCGTTCTTCTACTTTGCACGACGATCACGTCTTTGTACTGTTCATTGGTGTAACGTGCTTACTCGTCCTGAGTGGACATTTGTGGAAAAGAGCTTTATAGCTCATCGGATTCCTCCTGCAGTATAAATAAATATTACGATTCTGGTTATATATATATATCTCTGACAAGAAAAAGGCATTAAGCCGTCATCAAATGTCCATGACAGTTGTCTATGCCAGTTGCCTATTGTTGTACCTCCAAGACCTCAAACCGCTACAACATATTTCGTTCCAATTCAGTGCACACATTGAATATCACACAACTGGAGAACACGTTCGAGAGTGATTACCTGTGGCAGGTGTGGACGGCAGACTGGCATCACAGTAATAACATTAAGAAAAGGATCGGAGCATTTGTAAAACAAAAAAAAACTGAGCTTAATAACTTCAAACAACATACCAGTGCAACAACAAAAAACGGCGTAAGCATTATTCTGTTTCATTGGATAAAATGTTGCTCAGAAACGTGGGCAGTGACAAAGAGAATGGGACAAAGGTGGAAATTTATAAAAGCGAGCATGGAGGTATGCATGCTTTGGATTGCACTGAAAGGCAGTAAGAGGAACAAATGGATCACAGAACACATGCGAGTTGGAAACATGGTATTTTGTATTGTTGTATATATATTTTGTTATTTTATTGTTTCCCTTCAACGTCACTTTACCGAAAGAGCTAAGAATATGGTATTCACTGTCACGCAATGGACTGGCACCTGAATACGTCTCACAGGCTTTTAAGGTTTGAACCCAGTAGATGCCTCAGCTCCTCGAGCACTGGTCTCTGGGTCTTTGCTGAGGGCCAGGACGAACACTTATGGGGAGACAGACTTTAGCCTCTACGGCTCTCGCCTTTGGAACGGCCTGCCGGAGGATCTGAGGGCATTAGAATCCGTAAATGTTTTTAGACGGTATCTTAAAATGTACCTTTTTAGATTGTTTTTTTTATTTATTAGGATGCCGTAATTGTGTGCTCATTATGCTTTTTAATTACACTTTTAGTTAATTATGTTACGTCTATTTTAACGTATTAATGTTATTGTTGTTTAAATTGCGTCAGTCGCTTTTAATTTGTCTTGTGAGGCACTGTGCATTACATTTTATGCACGAATTGTGCCATAAAAGTAAAGTTGCATTCTATTTAATTTTGTTCATAAAGCGAGTAGGGCTTGGACAGGTTGGTGGGTCGATGTTAACAACGGAGCGGGAGCCAAAGGAGAGAACACGCCTTAGAGGACACATCCACAGTGGGGACGGAGTCGTGAAATCAGCTGCTCTGTAGCGGGCGAGATGGACAGTTGCATCGCTAGACCGCAATAGATGACGATAGCCTGGGGAGACCTTCAGACAGGAGTAGAGAAGCCGTGGCCGATGCTTATAATGATTTCGGTTTAAGAGAATAATTGTGTTCCGTGCCGAAACAACATGTCAATGCTCTTCTCTTTAAAAGGGGACCCATGCTGGTTTAGACCCTGTTGGAGGATGCCCCTCTTTTTGCAAAATGTCCCCCAGAGCAATTCCTTGCATGTGGATCGGAGCTCTGGCAATGGCGAAATATTTTGGAGGCCACATTTTTCTCCATCCAACACCCCGTCCCCCCCCCCCCCCCCCGCATAGCCTTAGCAAACCGCTGTGACCACGTGCCTATGAAGGCCGGAGACGGCAACACGAGGGGGTGGGTGGCCAGCACCACGTCCGGCCGCCTGCCTTTATCTCCCCAGTGGCGATGTTTATACACCGCACCGGTTACTCATTTGAGGCTGAGTCGACCTAAGGGAGGCCAAGGACCGGTTCAGATATAATCGTCACCGGTGTTGGCCGTGATCGAGAATCGAACTCGGGTCGCCGGAGGTCCGGCAGCGCAGTGCGCTGACCGCTACACTGCCGGCTTCCCTTCCCACCACCGCACAAACACCGCACACGTGCAACAAATGGAATGGCCTTTTCACAATTGAAATCTCGCTTATTCCATTTTCACCTTACTTTCAGCAAACGTCTCAGCGGAGCGCCCAAGCGCTCTTGTCAAGCGACTCTGACAGCTGCCAACGGAGCCACATGGTCACATAAACAAAGAGTAAAGTCGCCGAACACACGGGGCATCAGCAGCCGCAGCCCCAAAACTTCACAGCAGCCTATTAACCGTAACATTCAACAGACAAAATAACAGCAACACACGCTGAAGAAGAAGAACCCCACTGCGCACCCGCAATGGAACGCACTGAAATGGTTCATGAAAGACAGGCTAAATACTAAAAGGCAAGTCACTTTCTACAGCAGGCTAGGAAACCGTTGAAGTGCTTGTCCTAGTTCAAGGGGTCCTATATAGACGAGGCACTATCGTTGTGTACGAGTGTGCACGTATATCGCATGTGTCACGAAATTACAAGGTCATTAGTTTTAAAGGAAACATTGTGCAGAAATCCTGCCACGCGTTTCCTTGGAAATAAAAACGGCACCACTTGGATTTTGAAACGTGATTTTAACATTTTATTTTCATTGAATGTTCAGGAAACATAAACAAATACGCGAATTTAGTTTGCCCTTCTGCTAAGAGACAGCATGCAGATATTTTATTTCCGACGTAGAATTTGCAACGACAAAAGTTTCAAGGAAAATCGATGGGTTTTTTCTTGCATGGCTAGTTGAGCATTTCGCATGAGGGTGGCCGATGTCAATAAAGGTGACTGCAAATTTGACAATTCTGAAGAATGAAGTTATAAATGCACAACACATCAACTGCTTCACAGCAAGACGCAGACCTCTTTATGTGCTGCTATGGTTGACTGTGCTTCCCACTTGGGGCAGCTTCAATGCGGCACAGCAGTGCCACATGTTGAGTCACACCACGAACATTTGAATGGCCTGGGGACAATCACGCTATACACCGCATCGCATGAAAGGAAAACTAAATAAATGGTGTCAAATTGTCTCGTCCATTATTTGTCACGTGACTCTTTCTTCTTCCCATTCCGAACGGTTGTCTTATTGCCGGGCCCGAAAGTTGTTCAAGCAAAGCTCATACAACACAAGGAAGAAAAATCGTGCGTGTGCATGGATTATGGTAACTCTTTCCACCACGAATTTGTTCTTGGGAGTTATGTAACTCGCTGGGATCCCTCGACGTCGAGTACGATGATCCTTCATGGCCAGCGATGATGGTCAGAGTTTGTGGATAAGCAGGTAGGGCCAATCCTGAAACCACGACACATCTTGCTACATGCTTAGTCCGTGGAGGTCGCCATGCGCTTGAGCACATTGACGTGAGGACACCGTCGGTGCGCGCCAGTTTCCACACGAAGCTTAAGTGCAGGGCCTGGATCCAATGGTGTGGTGATGGACGTGTTCCACTCCGGGCGTCCAAGAAGCAGCACGTCCCTAAGCCACGACGAGACATGGTCTCAGAGAACGGCCCTGCCAAGGAGGCCGTAGGCCGGAGGCCTCCTTGGCAGGGCCTTTGCATCCATTGCATCCATTGGCCTGAATTTCAATGGCTCGATTCCCGAATAGGAACACAACTTTATGCTTAAGTTTCGTCCACATTGGGTAACCTCTGCGGGAGTTATCATGCCCCCGTTAAAGACAGATGGATGCACAGAGCAAAGGCATACATTATTTCTACCTTAATTAGAAAGCGTTAGACAAATAACTCCAATTGTCAATATGAGTTGTCATCTTATTCCTGTATGTATATCAATAGAATGTGTATTTTAACACGTGCTCATTTTGTGTATGTAAATTAAAACATTATTGATCGACCGATCTATTTTATTGCACCAGGTGAGATCCCGTTGATATGACAAGTCTTGTTTTTAAGAGTGGCCTGCAAAGGACACTTATTGTTCGTATATTTCCGTTAGTCTCCATTAACTATTTGTAAAACTAAATTAAAATTACTAATACTCTTTGGTTCTATTGGGTAAAGTCACGTAGGTGAAAATAAAATAACAATATTGACCCATCGCTTTCCACGAGGAGCACCTGAAACATCGCCATGTGAAACAGGCACGTGTGTGCAGAATGCCTCGAAGGTAATTGCACGTCTATTGACTTTGTACACCCATGGTCTGTGCTCCAATGTTGCAGATTACTACATTTCAGCAATACATCAAAACAGTCCTGATCAATTCCTTGTTGGGGCACATCATACACTATCAATGAAAACATTGCAAGGTGCAGCAGCGTAGCATGCTCTCTCTCTCTGAAGAAATTACATCCTGGAGAAGACAGATTTAATATTTGTGACAAATTTAAAATGGTGTGGGTGTTATAGATGACTTGCATTTTCATTGTGAAGACATATTGCTGAAGGAAAAAAAAATATGTGAGATTGGAAACACTTTGAGGGAAAGGCTGAGCAGAAACAGCCTGTTTGGCATCTGGTGATCTAAGTTTTGTATCATCTAAACAAACGAAAATGCGTACCTAATTAACACAACATTTTAAATATTTTTTTTGTGTCTACTGCAAGAACGGTGTGCCATATTGAAGCATAAGTTTCAGAAGATTTTTTAAAATATTATTTTCAATTATTAACAGTAATTGCCTAGGGTAGCAGGTTATGCAAAAAAACATATGAAGAGGCTAATGCGAATGTAATAACCAAAAGGACCCACACTCTATGTTGTTAACTTTTAAAATGTTCCGTGTGCGTCTTCAAAATGTGTATGAGGTACAACACCGGCTTGAGTGGCTTAATAGTTTATAATACCCTTGCTTGCACGGCCAAGACAACTCTTTTGCTGAGTGTTCCTGTGTGTCTGTATACATCGATAAACCTCACTATGTTTCTTTCATACAATATTTAATAAGTGGCAATAACAGCCACTTGTGTCAGGACAAACTATGCCAACTTAAAGTGTCGGGAAAATAAAAACATCTTCCTTTATCATTGTGTACATTTTAGAATCGAAAATGAGATCAATAAATGATGGGTAGCAAGGTTGAATTAACTGTTGTCTCCTCAAAATTATATTGTAGTACACCACGGTTGATCGGGAGGTCGTGTGTGTAGTGTGGTAATGTGTGGGTCCACCGACTTCATCCAAGATATTTGTCTGGGGTGGAAGCGTAGGCCTAAAATATCCTCTAGAAGGGCTCTCTACTGGACATCTGTGAAAACAAGCTTCATAGCTCATCGGATTCCTCCAGCATAAAAACATAATCTGATTCTGAGATCTCCTGCTGTTGGAGGCCGTTTTACCAGCGGTGGCATAAGCAAGACATTGCAGGGCTGAGCCTTCGCCTTTTCTATTTTCACGTATGAGACGTGATTATCATTATTATGTTGTAACATTATGAATGGCAACAACAAGCATGCTGTAGCGATGCCCGATGATTTACCCAAGAGAGCATCACAAAATCTGAAGATTTTTTTTTTCAGGGAGGAACCTGCATTGGAACATTTGGCCAAGGTCATTCGTGATTGTGTACAGCTTGTGAAGAGAAACCGATATCAAATGCCGTGATCACTTGTCGATGGATGCATAATTTCTCATGCGAAGTGAATGGACCTCGATCCCTTGCCTAGATACATCTTTTTAGCTTGACTTAGAGTTGAATTGTACAATGCTGAAGGTCATATAATTCACTGGAGACAATATGCTTGATATGAGTCATCACTTATTGGCTTTGTTGTTGTGTGTTGTAAACTCCATCTCTGGACCTCCCTCCACAATATTTGGCACTAGACACTGTCGCGCAGACAATTTGAAAATGGAATACTGTCTGCCCTGGCAATTAAGTGGACAATTCCTATTTGTATGGCGTAGAGAACAACCATTCTACTTGAAGGGTAAACTCTTTACTGCTGAACGTTCTTATTTTCAACACAAAAGAGTTTCATATAAAAAAAAGCTTTCAAAGAGTTCAAGCCATGTCAGAATTCGCACCTCTAACGACACAATTGATCTACACAGTTTGTCAATCCACTGCTGGATGAATGCTCATGGGAGGGGCGGGGGGATGGTGGAGTTGACCATACTTCACGATGATCAGTGCAGCTCAGCTATTACTCGCCACTCTTGCCAGCCATTCCCGAGAATCGGAAGCCAAGGCAACTGCAGTGCATTAACCAATGCGCCACCACTCCTCTCCGCGGAAAGTGTAGACAATGTTGTTCAAGAGGAGGCACGGAGCAAAGAATGCATTCGTTTTAAAGACTATAACATTCTTGGCTACCACCACAACTCTGACTTGTCTGTTTTTATTGTAGTAAGTCTTACAAATTGCGTATGCTGGCCCACACCACCCACTTGCTTGTCAGCTTTTAATAATTACTCAACACAATTGTAATGCCTTCAAAAACAGTGTTCTCAGTTTACAGATGTAAACCCTCCACAGATTTGGCTCACTTTACGACGTACTATATACCACAAACTGCTTCCTCGTTAAAGTTTTAAAAATGTATGTTTTGTTACATATTCTGTAATATAGTGACTCTCACGTAGAATTATCACGTGACGATATTGTGGCCTGCTTCACGATTCAGCGATAACGCATTTGATTCCATGTGCATGCTTTCATGATTGCTTTTCACTCCCGACGACGTCCATTCATCGGTTCTGAAAGTGCGATGTGGATATTCCGCAGAAATAAATACAACTTGTTCTTAAAGATTGTAAGGCGGAATCATCATCATGATCATCGACGCTGCTCTATCCACTGCTAGATGAAGGCCTCTCCGAGCCACCGTCGTTCCTCACCACCTTGCGGTGTTTCGATCCCGCCGCGTTGCGCCGCGGATTACGGGAGCGGTCGTGAACCGCCAATGATCCGCGAGCTACGGGGGATATGCGAGTGAATGGAGTTCTACAGTAGTGCAATATAATTTCGAGATGGTGGGGGAATGCGCAGACTTTCGTCCAGCAGTGGATTGACTGTGGTTGATAATGACGAATAATTATGACGTCAATCTAAAAAACACACACTACATTGTGAAATACATGGCCGATTTTTTTTTTACAAGCAATAGGTTTCATTTGTAAGTACACCTGTTTTACTTGACATGCCTGACCTACACTTGAATTCATAGCCCTTTGGTTCACGACCCCCTAATGAACCACATACCAAGCGGAAACAACCATTCTAGTGTCTGCTAATCGCATTGTAGCCATACCCAGTGGGTGTTCGGTACCATAGTTCTTAGCCTTACACACTGTATTTGACTAGAACCTCAGCTTCATGGTGAATAGCTTAACACATGGCTTTTTTCTAGCCAGTATTATGATTCGTTCGGGTGAAGCCACGTAAATAATCGTCGCGTGTACGTACATTAAACACGCCGCGTATTATTAGTTTGGCTCGCTTGGTCAGTTGAACGAACCAATTCTCACAACCAAATGTAGCAATTAGATTTACCTTCGGTTGTGAGAATTGTTCTTAAATCGCACACGCGTTTTTGGCTACACGACTATGTGATCTGAATAAAAAAAATAAACTACGAAACAGTTTTAACAGAGAGAATTATAAATATAATAATAACAATAATAAGAATATGACTTGGCCGGTTGGTGCAGCTCTAGAATTGGTGGCTCACAATGAGACGGTTGTAAGTTTAAATTTCAAGCAGGGTCAACTCGGCGCTTTGTTCCTTCGCATCATCATCATCATGACGATCCATGGGCAGATAGCCCCGTAGGTGTCCACTGCACATTTCGTCACTTGTTTCCACTTTACTCTCTGGCTTGTAGTGCCAATACGCTCAAGTCGTGCTGCACAATCTTCTGCTGGCACCGATCTCTTGTGCCGTCATCAAGCCATTGTGAGGTCTTCGTCACTTTCCAGTCCCTTCAATGATAATTAATTCTTATAACAAGTATGGGGACTAGTTTTTGGTGGAGTAAAAGTTCGTGGAATGTCTCGTATGGATAGACTTTCCCCCCACTGTACGAATGTGGAATTTCCACCACTGGCTCAGAGCTATTCACGGAGAATGGGTCCCCATCTCATGCTCAATTTAGCCAGAAAGTTAGGTGACTTTAGTTGTTTATCCAGAATTTGACAATCTGCTTTATCTTCGAGTGTGGCCTCATCTGATATCAGAACAATGA